TTAATATTGGGAAGAGTGTGATTGTTCCAGTAGGGGAGGTGGATCATATTCATGAGTTGGCAGCTATTTTGGGTTGTGGAGTGGAGGCTTTTCCTTTTTCTTATTTGGGGCTGCCATTGGGTGCTTCCTCGAGAAGAGTTGCTGTTTGGGATCCAGTGGTGGAACGTTTTCAAAGGAGGTTATCTGGGTGGAAGAAGCAGTACTTGTCAAAAGGGGGTAAACTTACATTGTTGAAGAGTACCCTATCTAATCTTCCTACATATTTCATGTCTTTGTTTCCAATCCCTAAAACAGTGATCTGTAGACTTAATAAGATTCAAGGGAATTTTTTTTTTTTTTTTTTGGGGGGGGGGGGGGGGGGGGGGGGTTACCACCTTATGAAATGGGAGAAAGTGTGCACTCCGATTCGAAGAGGAGGCTTGGGAATTCGCAGGTTGGAAATGTTTAACAAAGCTCTGCTAGGGAAATGGTTATGGAGATTTGGGTGTGAAAGGTCTGTGTTGTGGAGGCGTGTTATTGCTTGTAGGTTTGGGGAAGAGGAGGGAGGTTGGGTGTCCAGAGGTGTGAATGTTTCAGCAGGTATGGGGGCATGGAAAGGTATTAGGAGGGGGTGGGACGAATTTTCTAAGCGGATACAGTTTCGAGTTAAGGATGGTCGTTATGTGAGGTTTTGGACGGATGTTTGGTGTGGGGATGGGGCGTTGGATTGTAGGTTTCCTAGACTTTATAGGTTGGTTGAGGAGAAGCATGCGGTGGGGGAAAATTACTTTAGGTTAAAGAATGGGAGAGCTTGTTGGAATGTGAGATTTCGTAGAAATTTTACTGATTGGGAGGTGTTGGAGTTTACTGAGTTACTGGGATTAATGAATAGTCAAGTGGTGGAGGGGGGAGGAAGGGATGAGATGGAGTGCATGGGAGATTCTAGAGGGGTGTTTAAGGTGAGGCTGTTTTCTAAAAGTCTTACGAATTCGATAAGCAACGGGTTTCCTTGGAAGGCTGTATGGAGGACTTTAGCTCCACTAAAGGTGGCTTTTTGCACGTGGATAGTGGTACTTGGCAGCATTCTTTTTTTTGATAAGTATTGGCAGCATTCTTACTTTGGATAATCTCAGAAAAAGACGACAAATAACATTTAATTGGTGTTGCATGTGAAAGAAGGCGGGTGAGTCGGTTAATCATCTCTTGTTGCATTGTAGAGTGGCAACGGATGTTTGGAGTCTGGTCGGGAATATTTTTGGGGTGGAATGGGTAGTGTCAAGTAACACGATGGATATGTTAGATACTTGGAGAGGGAGACGAGTGGAAAGTCCGGTTAGGAAGGCATGGAGGGTTGCACCTCTTTGTATTTGGTGGGGCATAGTTATTAAAGGCCCAAGGCGCTAGAGGTCCTTTGGAGCCTAGGCGCGAAGCGCACGGCAAGGCGCGCGCCTGAGTGAAGTAAGGCGCACAATTGAAAATTTAAACTACCATAATAACATTCATATCTCATAAGTCATATCAATATTCTAAAAATTAATATCAAATATAAAAGAGTAAATCCATCAACTATACAAGCATCCAACAACCATAAAACAGAGCCACAAATTTGTTTTCTTGAAAGGCAAAGCAAAATGTGTTTTTTGAATGGCAAAACAAAACACAAAAAGAAATAAATATGTTAACAAAAAAAGAAAAAGAAAAAAGAGAAGAACCGATGTGGCTTCGTCGTTCATCTCTGCAACTAGGGCTTCGTCTTCGTCTCACAATCTCATTCTATCGTTGTTCAGTTAACACTTTGACTCTTAGACTTTCTTATTTTTTTATTCTTTTAAATAAAAGTTCCTTATATCGTATGATTAAGCTTTCTTTTTTTGTTTATTAAGTTGCCAAAAGAACCCTTTTTGGCTTAAGAAATAGAACAACCGTATTTTTTTAAACAAATATCAGTGAGGCGCGCCTCACAAACAAGACGAGGCATAACCGAGGCGCGCACCTAGTAAACATCAGTGAATCTGAGATGACAACAAGCGCTAAACCTGAGCCTCGAGCCTAGACGCGCCTTTAACAACACCGTGTGGGTTGTGGCATGTGAGGAATAGGAGATCTTTCGAAAGACAAGAGTCGCCGGTGTGGGTTATCAAGGTGAATATTTTGCATTCTCTTTATTCTTGGGTTAGTGGGAAAAATTGCCCATCTGTAGATAGTTTTTTGGATTTTTTTGACAACTTATCGTTGTATTGACGTTGTTTGCGGTTTTTGTTTGTTTTGTTAAGAGTTTGCTCCCCTCTGAGCGCGTTTGTTAATACAATTTTACTTGTCAGGAAAAAAAAAAAAAAAAAAATGGGCCACAAGAAATAACCAATTTGCAAGTATTCCTTGCATACATATAGCTCAGAAATTTTAGAAATCAAGATCATCAACCATCAGTCAGTGATTTAAATAAAATTATATTCTACAAATTTTGAGTGTTTTACAAATTAAGGTATCAGTTACTCAAATTTCTAAGATTAAGAAGATTTACAGTGCATTTGGATAACTAAGAGGGAAAGGAAATTGGAGAACAACAACGAAAGGAAATTGGAGAATAAGATTAGTAACCAAAGAAAAAGAAAGAAACAAGGTAACAGTATTAACTATTAACTTTTCCTCGTGTTTGGATGACTAAGGAGGGAAAAGAAAGACAAGAATAGGGAAAATGGGTAATCACTGATTCTCCTGCCATTACCTTCCGAATCCTTCCACTTTCGGTAAAAGAATTATCAAAATACTATTCAAAGGTTAGGCTCGCCCTCCTTCTCCATCCTAATACTTTCCTTTCCCTCATCATTTTTAAAACAAACACGTGATAAACTCTCTCTCATATTTTCCTCTCCTTCCCCTCCATCAATCCAAACACAATAGTAGTACAGGGTTCACAGTTCCATGTACTTGATGAACTATCTGATTATAGTCTATTCAGAAACTGCTATGTAAGAGGAGCTGAAAGAAGATTCTATAGTTTTGACTACACCCTGGTTTTTTAATGAAGAGTAGGAAATTGGTCTCAATATGCATTTGTTAGGTAAAGATTAGATGAACATTAACTGCTGTATTAGAAACAGTGCAAGTAGACCCAGTAATTATCAGATCAGATGCAAATTTTGACAAATTGAGTAACAAAAATAAATGACGGTCTTTTATGTAATATTATTAGTATTATTATTATTTTCTTTGTTTTTAGGATAAGTAAGACACCCATGTCTCAACCAAGACTTGAACCCTTCACCTTTTCCTTTGGAACTGATAAGAGATACCAATCACGCTAATAGCTAGTGTTCTTATGCACAATAATGACCTCATGCATACTTGGCAAATCAATGGACTCAGGACTCAATATGATGGGCTCTTATTTTTCCTTTAAAGCCTCTCTTAAGTTGAGTCAATTGCATTAAGAACAATCTTGGTAATTAGTCATCATTATGATATAAGAGTGCAGACTAAAAAGATGAAATTGAGTAAGTTTTAACTAAAAACATTGATTCTAAAGTGTTTCACTCCTCTCCCTTGCTCACACTAAGTGCTATTCAGATTAGCATGTTACAAGTGAAATAAACTTCTTTATGACATCTATGTCACCTGGAGGAACTAGGAACAACAATGTGGTAACTCTACCCCTTGGAAAGTTCATTAGCCATATCTAATTTTGTTCTAGTCTTATAGAAATTGCAAATTTTCATATCAGGGACCATCAGCTATTCAGCCATATCTCATAAGTATATATATCTCATTAATGGATTTAGAGCATCTGGAGACCTTGAGAAATCAATCCCAACAGCCAAACATTCTTACTAGTGAATGTGTTCCGTTTCATTCTCACAAATTTATCTAACATGGAATAAGTTAATGCCACCACAATATGTAGAATATCATAAACTTAATCCACGATTGTATCAACCAAAAGCAATGTCACACTCATAAGATCTAAAGTTTTCCCACAACCGTGATGGATATCTAAGGAGAAAGAGGATATTAATTAGTGAATTCTGGAGGTTTCCATCTCATGGTACGTTTGTAGATAATGTCAGACAGGTTAGAAATTCCTTTGGTTTGGGGTCAGCCTCAAGAAGCATTGCTTTCATGGGGCAATTTGCCATAAAAATTTCCTTTTCCACTGTTTGGTCACAGTGTAAACAAAGGAAGAGAATGTTTTTTTTTTTTTTTAAATGGCATATAAGCTTCCTTGGAGACATTGGTGCATCATTACCCGCAATCTGATTATCTGACAATAGTCCATCGTGATTTATTCTATCAAAATATTAGTTCTTTGTAATTTAATGTTAATTCCCTCATTTTAATCATATAATTGAATATGATTTCAGGTTTTAAGGTAGTAATTTGAACATACTCTACCAATAAGGTAGTAATTGAATATCCTTACACAAGTCAAAATGACTTCTTTTGATAGACGCAATTACTGTCCAATAACGGCATACTCTACCGATTCTCACTGCTGCATTTGGTTGCACTTATAAAGTATTCATCACCTTCACTAAGAAGAAAATGTAATTAGAAAAAAAAAAATAAAAAAAAAATGCTTAAAAAGCAAATTAGTACTTCTGGTAGTTCAACCATGCAGTAAAACTAGATAAACTATAAATGGCAGATCCACCACAATTCTTGCTTCTTTAAAGGACAATAATATACTAAACTCTCGTTGATAAACGAGATATACAAATTAAGTACTTAAAAAAATGATGATTCAAATTAAATTCCAGAACAATTAAAAGAATATGCTAATGGTTCAGTGATATGATGCCATATTTGCAATATTTCAACAAGTTAACAAAAAAGTAAATATTTTTCATACGAAAGGAAAATTAACATGCATATTCATGAAACATTAGCAGATAAGGTGATATATTAGCCCCTTCATAGTTGCAATTCAGCAACAATAAACAAAACCCAACAACCAAATAAATAAACTCGATGAATAAAGTTTATTAATTAACTGAAAATAAAAGGAAATAGAAGAGGGTTATTACCTTCTCCTTCACAGTTTCTTCCCTATTTGAAACTTGTAGCTGCTTCTGAGACACATTCGGACTCACATCGATATCGTTTACAAGTTGTTGCTTCCATTCAAATTGAGAGGTAATTATCAGTATAAGCATCAGAAACACAAGCACCATTGGTCTGGACATCATTACAGTCCCCCTCCCACAACACCTGCCCAAAACACCTACAAATTAAGTACAAAACAAATCCCAATTCACAACACCACATTTATCATAACAAAACATCTAATAAACACGAAACGGAAACAAAAAGGGATTCCACCGCAAAACCCTAACTCTGTTTCTTTGTTTGGTCAGGAAAAAGGGATTCAACTGTAAAACCCTAAATGGATTTGTTTGCTTGCTCAGAAAATGAAAGAAAAAGGTAAAAATGCAATATGAAAATACAAGTAATTGGCTGTGCTTAAGTGGGTTTTCGAATGTTCTACACCAAAAACGACACGATGATGTAGAATCGATCAATTTTCTTTCTTTCTTTTTTCTTTGATTTTCTGAGAACCAAAAAAGATGGTGAATTCAGTAGTACTAACCGATTGAGAGTGGAAACAATCACGCGATCAAGCCCATCGACATCGTAGCAGTGCGGGCTCTACTTTGCTTCGACTCTGGTACAGTGCAGTGTGCGTTGTTTAAATGAACTCGGAGAGTAATTGATGATTTGGAGCCGATTTCTACTGGGTTTGTTTAAGTGAACACAAAGTCATGCTAATGGCGGAAATTAATTAGATTCGAAAGAGAGACAATGGAGATGGTTTTTGCCTTCTCTCTCCCCACAGTTTTTTCTCTCTTTATTTATTTATATTGTGATTTTTCAAAGCTGTGTCTTTCATTGGAGAGTATATCTGTCCTTCACTGGAGTATTAGAGTATAGAAATGTGTTCCAACAGTGATAATAATAATAATAATAATAATAATAATAAATTAATTAATTAAATTAAATTTGATTCCATATATCTCAGGTGGGATTGACACCCAACCCATATCTCAATCACTCTCTCATCTGAATTGGATAAGGGACAAATTCCCAGTTCGGGCCACCCTGCCTACCCAGACGTTCTCGGCACTGGGCGTGATACCATATCAAAAATTGAGTCTGACTCTGATACCAACGATAACCAGGGGAGGAGCCAGGAGGCAGGTGCCCCTGGCCTGGCCTAACCCTACTCACTATAATATATAATAATCTTTATTTTAATTTGTACATTTATAATATATATATATATATATATATATATATATATATAATGCCCTCCTAAAATTTTTAATTTATTTAATTGTCTTCTAAATTTTTCTTTCCTTTTTCTTTTACTCTTAATATTCCTTTGATTTCCTTAAAAAAAAAAATTCCTTCTTTACTCAAGCTCTGAGCTATTAGGTGGAGCTAACACCTAACCCATATATACCCAATCACTCTCCCATCCGGATCTAATCTGGGACAAACCCCCCTTGTTACGCTAGGGATGGCAATGGGACGGCCACACCATTCCCATTCACATTCCCCGTTTAGCATAGTTACTCTCATTTTAGTTTTTTTAAAAAAAGTGTTCCATATATCTTAGGTGGGACTAACTAGGGCTGATCACGGATCGGATCGGTTCGGTTTGGAATAAAGTTCAATCCAATCTGGCCCCCACAGATTGGTGAAATTTAAAACCGAACCAATCCGTGGGGACCTTCGATCTAAATCAAACCGAATCGTGAAATAACAGATCGAATCAGTTCGATTTCCACGGATTTGGCTTTTCAAACAGCCCAATATGATTATATTTTATGGCTCATTAAAATATCAAATTAGTAATTAAAAACCAATAACTAACTTTTTAACAAATATCACCACAAACTTAAATTACCTAATAACAAAATAGATTTACAAAAGTGAAAAGCCTTAAATAATAAAAATATAGTGAATATATTGTATATATATAGTTATATATATAATTAATGTAACGGATCGGATCGGTTCGGTTCGGTTAACGGATCAGATCGGTTTTTCCAGAGCCCAATCCGTTAACCGAACCACGAATAGCAGATTACTATTTTTCTAAACCATTATCGAACTATAAAATCTGATTATGAAAACCGAATCGAATCACACGAATCGGATTGGTTCGGACCGGATTGTTTGATTATTTGTTTACCCCTAGGACTAATACCCAACCTATATATACACAATCACTCTCTCATCCAGATCAGATATGGGACAAGCCCTCCCGGCTCGGGCCACCCTGCCTACCCGGAATGCAGACCCAGACGCCCTTTGGGTTGGATGCTTGGCGTGACACTGGATTAAAGACTGGGTCTACCTCTGATACTAATTGTAACGGGTGAGTTCTTCGCAATCCGACCTAACAACCTAAGCTATTAGGCAAGACTAACACCTAACCCATATATACCCAATTACTCTCCCATTCAGATTCGATCTAAGACAAACCCCCCTTGTTACACTAGGGATGGCAATGGGACGGCCACGCCACTCCCATTCACATTCCCCGTATAGCATAGTTACTCTCATTTTAGTTTAAAATTATTCACTAAATGAGGCGGGTTAAGGTGGGACAATAAATTCTGTAGAATACTTTTATAATTGTACTATAACGTATTGAAACAAAATTTTAATCATGATAATAATTCTTTCATTTTTTTTTTCTTTTTTTTTTTTTTTCTCTTATACCGTTATACAGATAAAAAATAAAAAATAAATTAACTTCTCAAATTGGAACTCAGGACTTAATATTGTTGTAGAAATATCATAACTAGAATGGTATATACTAGTATTTGCTTGATATATATACCTAATATTATTGTATAATTTATCACCATAAACCAGGAGGGGGGACGGGATGGAGTGACGTTCCCCAATCTCCACCCCCATAACCATGCAAGTTTTTAACCATACAAGTTTTTAATTATACGAGAAATTTTTTTTTGCAAAAAATTGTGATATGACAAATAATTGTATTCAAACCTAAAAAGTACGGATACGGATACAGAACACTAATATGATACAACACATATATATATAAACTCTGATATGACAAATTTTTAAAAAAAAATTATGACACGGATATAACAAAAATAACAAAGTCTTATAATAATCATGAAGAAATCATGAATTTGGTTTGAGCTTTTAGAGTTCTATGTTTGTTATTTTTGTTTTTTAAATTTTATATTAATTTTTTTATTAGTTCATAATATATTTTAAATTGCATTGAATCTCAATATTCTAACAAACAATTATTGAAGCACCACATTAGTATCAAAAGGTTTAAACATAAGTAGGACTAAGCTAAATATATGGTGTAAAGAGCCGGCCATAGACAATATAATTATCATGCCAACTATTTAGTGATATTTTATGCAGTAAAAGAATAATAAATAACTTTTTTTTAAAAAAAAAACTATCAATCTATTTTCACTAAAATTCAAGACTTCAATAAGAATCCATTTTAAAATGTTTAATATAAAATTTAAAGACCTTACTAAGACGCCATTTAAAAATGTTTAATATAACATTCAATTCTAATCTTTCACTTCATTTGTTTTGACATAAAATATTTTTTTCAAAAAAGTATTTTATTTTTTCTGGTAAAATATTTTCTTTTACTTTTATTTTTTGATGATTGACAAATGTCTAGGTCAAGGTTGAGTCCAAGTCCATCAAGTAGGAAATGTAAAATAGTTTGTCAAAAATTAATGAATAAATTATTTTTATTAGGTTTGAATAATTTTTTTTCTTCGTAAATATTTTATGATAATCAAACACCATAAATTACTAAAAATATATTTCGAAAAATATTTTAGCCTTACACAAACGGCTTTGTTCAATAAAAAATTCTGCTAATTACTAAATCCCTACTATTAATCAATAAAAACTTAGTACTTTAGTTATATATTATTGTAAGGTGTGCACTTTTACAATAATACCGCAAGTATTACGGTGTGGGTCATATCATTTTTTGACATTATCCAATTTACCTAATATTAAAATAAGGCATTCCATTACATGCTTAGTAAAGCACATTTAGGGCATCGAAGAATGTATTTTACCAAAAAAAAAATCTATAAAAGTCATGTAGAAATAAGTAATGCAATGTATCCAAATTGACGAATTTAGTTGACAAAGGATGGAATACATAAGTCAACCTTTTAAGTCATATAAAGTGAGAGTAATAGTCAATTTGAGAGCTAGAACGGAAGCATGCTCAAATCATAAGAATGATACTCGTTTAGAAGGATTTTGTGACTTTGGTCAATATAGTAAGGGGTCTACTTTAAATGCTTATACACATCACAACAATCAAATTCTTAAGAGCAGCCATAGGAATTCGGACCATCTAACTAAATTTATGTAAGTATGGAACGACATCATTGTGACATCATCATATTTAATTACATCATAATGATGTCTTTTCTCACTCACATAAATTAGTCGGATACATCCAACTTTCGTGAGAAATTATTAAATGGTCTAGGTCCATAAACACTTGGTGGACCAATTTAATTTAGACTTTTCAATTGAGAAAATGGTCCCACAACAGTGTATTAATATGTTACAAAGAAATCTCATAAACGATTTGAATTTAATTAGTTCACCATGCATAAAATGGACTTAAACCATCTATTAATTTCTCGACTTTGGAACTATTTATCATTACTCAATTCCTAATACTAATAGTATTTTTTTATGCATTTAGGTAGATATCCTTAACACAAACACAACTCTCAACTCCATAAAAAAAAAAATTACTATTGACCCTTTTTATAGTCAACATCATACGTAGTATTCTTCCTTGCATTTTCATCCTATCAAAAAATTGGGTATTCATAATTTGTACAATTCTTCATCTTTTCGTTAAAGTATAGAGAATATTTTTTTTAACTAAGGAAGAAGGGTGATTTGAAATAAAGATTATTAGTATAAAAAAGGCTGATTAATATATATATTTTTACTTTATACGTTAAATTGTTATGCAGGCAATAAGCGTAAGTTTGAGATGAGAAGAGATGCATATCCCATTGTACTGAACTTTAAATATACAAATCTACGTGTCATTAGTAGTACTAATCGTAGTTAGTAAAACACCTTAGGATAAAAAATGAAACATGATACATACGCGTATAATTTGATTATTATTTTTCAAATAGTTTGTTTAAAAATTCAATATGAAAAAGCATAAATAATAAAAGTACACGTAAATGGGTATAATACGAATGCTAATAAAAATTTTGTGGTAAAAAATATGGTAGCAATTTTATGTAACAACTCACGTTTCTGTTTATTTATTTGTAAGTAAGTAAGGGTTACGTTAAGAGGAACTAAATACATCCTAGGCATACTGCCCTTTACAAAGCGTGTATAATTACATAATTTGTAATAAAATATGTGTGTGTATAACAAAACTTAAGGGAGAGAGAGAAAGAGACAGAGAGTGATAAAGGGACTGAAAACTGTTTATTCCAATACGCACAAATCAGTACACATGCATGGCTTTATATATAGGCTCAAAGCTTAGCTTCCTTAATAAGCCACTAAAACAATCTTCCTTTGTAAGCCTTAAACCTTATGTCATGAATAATGTAATTCATTGTGGAGCTCACACAATCATATATACATAACACTCCCCCTTGGGGTCCACAATACTACACTAAGAATATGCCTCGTTAAAACCTTGCTAAGGAAAACCCAGTGGGACAAAACCCTAGCGAAGGAAAAAGAGTACAGTATTCTTATGTATTTGAACATGGTATTGCATAGATTTAAAACTGCCTCATTAAAACCTTGCCAGGAAAACCCAGTGGGACAAAACCTGGACAAAGGAAAAAGAGTAC